AATATAAAATTCAAAATGTAATCCATTTGATAGGCGAACAAACAATCAAAGACTGTACCGATAAATTATTTTAGACGAAAATGAATTGATACAATTTAAAATAAATAATATTTTAATGAAAATGTTTAGAGATATTAAATATAAAATATTTAAATAAAATAAATACAAAATAAATTAAATGACATTTTCCATTATATCGTAAAAAATTATTTGATTGATAACATGTAATCTAAAATAAAAAATAAGAATTTAATCCAACATATAATTAGAAATGTATCACACTAGATACAAAAAAAAATGAAAGACTATAAATGCATCATTTTATAAGAATAAAATGGTGTAAAGTAATTAATAAAAATAATTTATAAGAACAAAATGGCAATAAAATAATAACTGCTAATCGTCATTATAAAAGGAATACTTAAGTAAAACATTTCTATTCGAATCAATGAAATTCGTCCACAGCGATTTATCAACTCGAATTTGGTTCCACAAGAAACAATAAGAAATTGCATGAAACGAGAGACCGCATGATATGTAATATTATTCGAACGAGTATTTTCCGATTATACTATGCGAGTAACTACCGGCACAACGAAGGAAGTTCACGCGATTAAATTTATTTGTTTCAGCTGGGGTTCCGTTTGACACAGAATACGGAGACCCACCAAGTGCTACACAACTATTTCCTTAAATCTGAACACTGAGAAAAGCGAAAAGAAAAAAAAAGAAAGAAAGAGCCGTGCCAGAGGCCGTGATAATTCATGTTTGTACATGAAACCAGCGGTTTGCGATACATCCGGAGAAAATGCAATTGGGTTCATTTTCTCGCGTGTCTAGCCCACAACGAGCCTTCTCGAATTTTGTTGCCATGCTGACGTACACGTAGGTGCGAGTGTACGAATTCCCAGAGTTCTTTTCCTACACGTCACCCGCAGCGAAATTGATCAAAGTCGTCATGACTTTGATTAGTCTTTAGGTTCGTGGAGCCAGCTTCAGGCATAATTAGCTTCATATTTATTGTATAAGACATATCAACTTTTTAATTTAAATCCATTTAATTATTTATTTATTTAAATAAAACATCTAAAATACGGAGCCAACGAGCGAATTAAATTCAGTTCCGTTAATTGGCTCGACTATTGCGTGCCAGCCGACCTCGTCTCTCATTGGTCAGTGTTTTTTGTCAATAACTCGTAAACAAAGTCGCGAATAACATTTGCGCTAAGGAAAGTTACTTCAAAAAGCCTCAGAAATGCCTATCGACGCCAAATCAGCTGTAGTAAATATTATTAGTATTATATTACACATAATCGGCATATACCATTGATTTTTGAGCCCCGAGTGTAAATGTCTCCACTTCCCTATGATTTGCATTAGCAAACAAGCAGAGAATGCAACGGAAAATACGAGCGTGATTTATTAACTGTTACTACAGTGTCTTAGCATTGAATTTCATTAGCAGTGTAGTAAGGTATGCAAAGAAAGATGTGGACTCGTTTTATTAGTCATGATCACAGTTTCCTATCTATGAAAATCATTAACAATCAAATAAAGAATGAAGAATCACATTTTACACGTACGAAATCGGTTTGATCATATTTTATAAGTTTGTAGTAATCGATGCCCTGATTATGAAATGATTTAGTGCTAAGTTTATTGGTAACTTTCCTTTTTTAAATTGTTACTCGTGCAATACGAAAGATATTAACATGCCGTAAATTACATGTTATGCGTAAAACTTTGAAATCGAGTAAAAGAATTACTAGTTTTAACAATTTGAATAACTTATAACATTTAAACATCAAAATAACTAACTTACCTTTTGTTACTGTATGTAATCTGATTCAATTCAAGGATTAGAAGCGTGAAGTTACTGATGTTAATGTCTTTGTCAGAATGATATTGACACCCATATTGTATTCGTGGTATGATTATGACTCGACATATAGGGGCTGATAAACTTCGGAAGCAAATCTAGCTGCTGCATAGCACGTACTGTTTTTTATTACCTGAAATCGTAAGTCCCGCAACAAACTTCGCGGAACCCGACTGGTTAATGAATCGCTGAATATTCGACAATAGGATCTAACGGTAGAACAACAGTTGTACGCTAAAACATTCGTTGTACCAATGTGACACATTTTTCACAGTTTCTGGAAAAGGAATCTTGCTAC